TCTATAAATATCTACCTTAATTTTTCGTAGTTCTGTTGCATTAATTTGAGTACCTTCTGGTCCTCTACATAAAGATGTATCATTTGAAGATTCTAATCTGCAGTATAAAATAATTTTTTATTTAAAAAAATGAATTATGTGACTCTAATAAACTTCACATCGAAATTATAAATTAAATTTTCTCGAATATTATATGTAAAAATAACATATCTTACTAGAAATTTTACATTATTTTATGTATTTATTTACAATTTTTCAAATTATATTGCATATCTAATATAATATAATTTCTATAATATTCAAATATTTTTTTTTTTAAACTCTATTTTTATTTATATTTAAAACAATTTTATATAAATAACTAAACTAAAAATTATTTAATTTATTCATACATACTTTTCAGATAATATAAATATTTTAGATGTGTTTGATGTATCTCGATTTTCTGGAGATCTACTTTTAGTTTTACTTCTTTTCGATAATTTTTTCTCACGAGCACGTCGTAATTCATATTCTAAAATCCTCTTCTTTTTCAATTTTTCGTATTCTCGTTCTCGTTCTTGTTGTATCATCCATTCTTCGCGTTTATGTTGTAAACGTTCTTCTTTTGTTCTTGAACGCAGACCAATTTCGTTATCTTCATTGCGTAATTGTCTAAATCTCTCATCATGATTTGAACAATAACTTGATGTATTTCGTTTCATTTTTATGATAAATTTTTAATACCGAAGAAGTATATGTATATTAATGAAATTTAACCTGCAAATCTTTTTTTAGGTTAAAAGTACAATAAGATTTAAATATATACATTACATTAAACAATGTATAAAAAAATATTTTATTATTATAATAAATAAAAAAGAACAAAAATATTTTTTTAAAATATTATAAAAATTAAATAAAATTATAAAAACTCTCTAAACTTTCACAGTATACATATACTTACATATAAATCACCCAAGCACTTAGAGAAGCCGCTAAGAGAATACTTTGAAAATTCTATATTTAATCTTCATTGCTTATATTACTAACTTCATAGTGCGATTAGATGAAATTGAAGTTAGTAGAGATAAAGCAATTCAGAAATTAAATTATCGATAAAATATATTGCAGAATTGGTGGAAAGCTTCTAAATGATCTGTTTTTATATTATAAATTATCTGATCTTTAGTGAAGAAAGTTTAATGATTATTTGAAAATAATATATAATGTAAGTTTATCCAAACAGTTATATTAGAGGCTATTCTTAAATTATATCGAGTCTAAAAAAAGATAATTTACATTTTTGCTATTATTTATTTTTATGAAAATGGATTGAATTTATTTTTATTTTCAAATTAAACAGAAAAAAATAATTTCGAAATTTTTAATGATATTATTTCTTGGAGATTTGCAATATCTTATCACGAAAAATTGTTGAAAACAAAAGGAAATCCTTTTTCAAAATTAGATACATATCTTTTATAATATTTTCAAAATATTAGAATTGAAAAATTGAAAAACAAATCACCTATGTGAGAAAGACTTTCAATAAGTGCACGGTTGCAGATATGTTGTTTTAATAAGTTAAATAAATAATTAATAAAACAATAAAAAAATAATGCAATAAAAAAGATGATACATAAACATTAATAAATATTACGGATAATCAAAGACATTTGTTATTGCACTTAGTATTTTATATTGTTATTATTAATCGATCTAAATTGTATTCGCTAAAAAATTCATTAGCATCAAGAAGAAATTATACTTACATAAAAAGAAAACTAAACTTATTATTGAAAAAGTGCTTACAAAAATTCTTGAAAGAATCAAAAATTTATTTTATTGTTTAATCTATACTAATCCAAGGTCTAAGTTATTATAAGAGTTTAAGAAATCTTAGAATAATTAAATATACCGTTAAAAACCTTAAAGAAAATTGATGTACAATAAACAATATTTGATTATAAAAAAAAAGTTAATAATAATTTTTTATGTACTATCTATATAAAATCGATTTAATAATCAATTAAAATAATATTTATTATTCCTCTTTTACAACAGAAATTCTCTCGAAGAATTATACAAAATCGATAAATCCATAGAATCACGGATAATCATTAAAATATAATAAAATAATTGGCCAAGATTTATTTACTTTTAGTTTGAAGAGATGAAACTGTTAATTTCAAGATTTATATCTTGATAAATATATATATGAGATATACTATATATTAGACATTGCTATATCACGATCAAATTACATGTACAAACACGTCAAAAAAATATTCTCCATTCTCTAGAAATAATTATTAATTATTTCCAGAATTTTTATGTAATAAATTCAATTTTTAATTTAATATTCTTAATTTTTTGAAAAATTAAATTAGAATTAATGTATTAATCGCTCTAAAAAATTGGTTCAATAATTATTTTAAATTCGTTAGATAAAAATTGTATATTTATATATCTCTGCTTGCACAACAAGATACTTTTATTAGTGTAAATATCAAAAGAAAAAAAAAAGAAAAACAAAAGAAAAAAAAAATGATCATAAAAATCATTTTAAATTTTATATAATTTTATATATAAATTATAGTTTTATAGTTAATCAATGAAAAGAAATTTGTTAAAATAAATATTATCAATTTTTACAAATAAATAAGAATAATTTTATATAAAAGCAATTGAAATCAAATCTTCATAAAATATATTTGTATTAAAAATATATATATAAGAATAAAAATATTTTCTAAATCATAAAAAATATAACATTGTATCAATTTATTATATTACTGTATTGTAATATATATAATACAAATAATAAAGATAAATAGCAATAGAACCGTGAATATATTCACTCTTACTGACGCCAAATGTAATATCAATGAATTGCACGCATCGAAAGATATTATGAACAATATAATAATGATATAATATAAATATAATAATGATATAATAATAATGATAATATTTGATGATACAAAATTCGGATCGATATTAAAGGTCAGGTTTTTTTCGAATTCTGTCATAGTATTTTCTATAATTACCAAACAAAAACTTCGATACATTTCGAATTCGCAAAAAAAAAAAATAAAATATAAACAATTCTTTGGGCGAATGTTCAAACTCGGCATTGGATTTGATTAGTTCATCCGTTATAACGTCTTAGTTGTCTGCTATCATCATGTTATTAGTAATTGTAATAGTAATTGTGTAATTATTAATATAATTGATATAGTTACAGAAATTAGATACAGAAATTTCCAAAAATAATTAACTTATATCAATGATTTAATAAAAATTTATTTTTAACACAAAAAATTTTAAAGAAATCTTTTATTTAAATATAATATATTTAATACATTAAATCTATTAAATATACATGCATATATTTACATAAAAAGATTATTTTCTATTTCATTACTATATAAAACTAATATAAAAATGTTTAAATTAAATATTTTTAATCAAATGTTATATAAAAATATATTAACCCTTTGCACTCCAGGCCGGTTTCGCTCGGTCGAACCAGCAATTCCAGACTCGGATCCGCGCGTTCGTTGGAATTTCTTACAGCTTTTTTATAACGATTTCACATACAAATTAACACATAAAACTTTTATATTTTAATATTTTATGTATCTTTACGTATAAAGAAACAAAATTTATCGAATATTAAAGTCTATATTGTTGTTTCGTGTGATATTTTATGAAGCAATTATCAAGATACATCTTCGTTTATCAGGACAAGTAGAGTAATAGTACTTTTCCTTCTAACTTTTTTATCGTATAATTATTTGTTTCGCGCATTATTTCATTAATAAATTCATCAATAAAAAATAGTTTAAAAAATCTAATGGTTCATTTATATTCGAATAAATATTTGCAAATTTTTCACCGGGTACAAATTATTCTTCGCTATATTTTCTGATTCTATGCATTTTATCCATTTGGAATTTTCTGTGTCTTCTGCGATATCTTTACTTGAACTATTGCTTTCACATACTATTCACATCTATTATTCTTATTTTTCGCTTTCTTATATCTCTTATTTCATCTCTATGTTCATCATTGCTTTCTTTATCGTTTATTAATATATTTATAAATTTCTTTATGAATAGAAGTAATTTTGTCATTCAATAACGAAAAATCAAACTCATCTTCACTTGAACTAATTTCATTACCATGTTTACAAATCTCAAAAAATTTGAAAATAATATTTCTATTACCACAACTATCAAACTCAGACTAACGCCGAACATGTCGTTCGACTTACGATCACGGTCTAATTTGAGAAATCTAGCCATTTAATATATTATTCTACACCTCGTAAGATTATATGTAAAAAGTTTAGAAATCTATTTATGATATTCTAAAAAAATCAAACATAAATAAATATTGTTGCCGTTCAAGTTGCCGCATCAATCCAAATGGTGCTGGAGAGTCACCGCTGGAATTACGGCATTAACTCAAGTAGTGACCGAGAGTCACCATTGGAGCACAAAGAGTTAAACATAAGTGTATTAATTATCACACGATTAATCATTTAATGATCAAATCATTAAATGATAAATTGATAATTTTGGAAATATAATATAATTATATATTAAAATAGCAAGATTATAAATTAAAATAGATATATATTATAGATAATAATCAAGATTTAAAAAAAAAAGTAAAATAATATTTACTCTAAATTTTTTATTTAAAAGTATATTCTATAATATAGCAAAATCGTAAAATAATTCAACCATTGAAATTTATATATAATAATAAGGATATATAGATATATAAGATGTATAAATGATTGAAAGAATGAATTATTAGCAAAAAAAAAAAAAAAAGAATATGAAATCTTGATCAATGTATTTTAACTATATCATATTTAAAAAATTAAAAATTACAATAATTTGAAATTTAATAATTTATGATCTTGCTATATCAATGAATAATATATATTATATATATTATATATATATATATATATTATTCATAAGAATTTACAATTTTCAAAATTAAAATTCTTATAACATAATAATTAAAAAAATTACAATATTTTTATATCTTATACATTGACTATCTTAAATTATCAATGTATACAGCTAATTTTTAATATATACTCTACTAACTTTTTCCTTTCTGTGAGCTCTCTGATTCTCGATTAAACGAGTTCTCCTCGTTTTCTTCGAGGAATTGTATGACTTTTAATTAATTGATTTTTAGCATAAATATACTAACCATTATTATATATATAGTTACGTAAAACAAAATATATGAAATATGATTATGAATAGCGAAACAATTACAAAAATATATTATGTACTTCATTAATGGAGGAAAAATTCTTGAATCATCTAAAAACAAAATTCTTTAAAAGTATGAAAGAAGACATTTTTTTACAATTTTTTGTACAAACGAAATAATGTATAGTTGACTTGTGAGCCATCAGTTGTCCAATTTCGATCATGACCATGAGATTTTAGAATTCTTATTTTTTGTCAAATGTCATCTCATATTTTATTATTCAATATTATTCAATTCATTATTCATTATTCATATAACTTTCTATTATAAGATTTTCACATTTTTCATTAATACATAGGTCCAAATCCTAAATAAAACATGAAAAATTAATACAACACTTTATACACATATATATTATTTAAATTTATAAACATACTAGGATTTGGAGGTGGACGAAGTCTATACATATCTGGAGGAATAAATCGTGGTGGAAATGGTGTTAATGGACCAATATGCCTAGATCCTGGTACTTGGCCACGCATTGGAACCCAAGGTCTAACCATTATTGGCCTTGGTGGAAAATTCTAATAAAATTTAATATTTTAAAAAAATTTTTTTTCATAATTAAAGATAAGTAAAATAAATAAAAAATAAATTCACCCCATAATAAACAGGAACAGGAATTTGTTCAATATAAGATGGAATTATTCTATGTTCTCTAGATCTTTCTCGTTCTCTTCTATCTCGAGATCGTTCTCTCGATGTTTCTCGATATTCTCGATATTCTCTTTCATTTTTATATGATCTGTAATAAAATATTTAATTAAAATTCAATTTTAACTTGTTTTACGATTTCCAATAGCATATGCCATAATAACAAAAATATCGGTCTCACGTTGCCATTTCACATTTTGACTGAGCTTTCGAAATTATTCAAATCACATCATATCTTTTGATATGTAAATCCACGTATAAAGTACAACTAATTTTATTTTCCAAGATGTTTAATAAATAATTATTATCAAATGATCATTGAACAAAAAAAATTTATTATTTTGAAGTGAATAATAAATCATAAAATAACATTTTTATTAGAATTTCTAAATAAATACATATTTTAAATTATTATTAATGTCTTGATAAAATTTACAAAAATTTAATAATCTTCGATTATGTGGTATTTTTCAAAACGTATTGATACATATTAATCTAACTTTATATGTTTTGCACTTGTATGTTATTTCGCTACTTTTTATGTTTTGTACAAAATTTATAGCTTCTTGTTGGTTTTGATTTCGATAGTATTAAGTTTATGTGTTGGGAAAATAACCCCAATATTTCGTGTACAGTCTTTCTGATAAATCTTCGTTCGACAATCATCCTTTTCGTTTATACTCTGGTAACGGTATATTTTTTATTAATAATTCCGCTATTTCAATTCTATATTCAGCATAAGTTTGTTTTTTGTTAGTATTTGTTTTGTTGAATAAAATGTAGAAATTAAACAAAGCAACATCAAACAGGTAAAAAAGAAATTTTTTCGGTATTCTTTCATATATTTCCTTATCACAGGGAAACACGCTAACATTTGATCTTATCAATCAATTCCAATTATTACCTTATTATATTTAATAATATATTTTAATTTTAAAGTACAATTGAATTGATTTTTATCTGATTCATTGATAACAATGTTCTCTTGCATTGTAAATACTTCTTTAAATTTTTGATTCAAAAAATTTATCCGAGGTTTTATTTTACATAATTTATCTATATTGTTATCTGCAAAATGTATACATCTATTTATTCGCAGAAATCTCTTGAACGGTATCGTTTTTCTGAAAATTAGAGTTTCTATAACTTTCTTCTATAACTTCTATAACTTTCTTTTAGATCAATTCATTTAAATTGTTATTTTCTTAACTTTACCCATTATTATACATAGTGCAAAATATATTTTGATTTCATTACAATCTATAGGAAACCAAATTTTTAATCTTTTATTTATATTGTTCATTATTTAGTTTATTTGTCACGGATTCGTCTCTGTGACAATATTTTCCCAAAATATATTATCAAATATTATATTTAAAAAGTTTAATTCTTTTTTGTTTTCACCTATTAAGGTCCCATAAATTTCTTTCACATCACGTTAAGAATGACTTTAATTGCTATTTTTATATGAATATATAGGTTTATTATAGGCTATTAGCCATTTATGGTATCGGTTTCAGTTGTCCTAGAGCTCTTTTAAAGTATATTTCGTTAATGACACAATCTCTTTTAAAATTTTTTTCTACACCGTTCAATATGGATAGCTAAATAAAGCGAATTTGTAGCATGTTATGCTTCATTGCTTTAAAAAAGGTGATAATGCAAATGATATTGCAGACGAAATTTGGTACGTGGAGTGGTACGGGAAGCTACGATTATTACGATCATCTGCAATTGGTTTAAGAAATTTAAAGCTGGCAATTTTGATTCGAAAGATGAAGGCCGCAGTGGCTGCCCAGCAGCGACGAATACGGACCTTATCAAGGCCATGCTCGCTGAAAATCCGCGATATAGTGTATGTAAGTGTATAGTGTGCGTAAGATAGTAGATGCCACTAACATTCCCAAGCAATGATACATAATCACCTAATCAGCTTGAGATATGTTAATCGATGTAAAGTTTGAGTTCCACAATTATTGACGGAAACCGGTCTTATGAATCGCATCTCTATGATTTACTTCTCCAGCGACATGAAAGATTCTTTTTTAAAGAGGCTTATCACTGAAAATGAGACTTGGATTTTCAAGTATCAAAATGTGCATCGAAAACATACTTGATTTAAGGATAATAGACTTTCAACTGTTGCGAAGCCTTCACCCGAAAAAACTTTTCCATTTAGTGGAACTGGAAAGGTATACTACGAATTCTTTTCTCAAAGTGAAACCACCATTCTGCAAAATATTGCAAATCAGCTTGATAAATTGAAAAAATGCCAGAAAAATGGTCAGAATTGGTGAACCGACGAGGCATCGTTTTTCATCACAATTCAAAACCGTATGTTGTATTGGCTATAAGAGAAAAGCTTACAGCCTAAAAAGTTTGATTGGGACGTACACATATTCTGTACTCCTCAGATTTTATTCTATCCGATTATTACTTCCTGTCATTAAAAAATTCTTTCTATGATAAACGGTTCCAATCCGTAAGCGATAAAAACGCATCTCGAGGAATATTTTGCAAATACGCTCCCAACAATTTTGGAAAAAGGGAATAATGAGATTTCCTGAGAGATGGAAGAAGATAGATAAAATAGAACATATAGTACATATATAACGCAATAAATCAACAACAAATATCATATATTCATTTTGTATCAAAAAAAAGAAAGAAACTTATGGAACACTTTAATAGTTGACTTAAAATTGCCACTTTTATGCCAGGAATCTCCATATAGTTCCAGACTTCATTAGCTTTCTCTTTTCAAATCCATAGCTCTGTTGATGATTATTGTGATCTTCATCGTCGGTATTATCTTCTATAACCAGTCACTTACAACATTTTTAGAAGAAATAAAATATCACTACTATCATTATCATTATTTATAAAATCACTTTTTGTAATGTTAGCAAAACTTTCACTATCACCAATAATGTTTAATATTCTTTTTTGACAACATTTTTAAAAGTATTTTTTTAATATTTTTCAAAAAAATATATCTGTACGTCCAAATGCCAAAAAAATTAGTAAATGTTCATCGCATATAGTCCAATCATCGTATCACGTCTCTCACATTATTATTTAGGTTTGATCTAATCGTACTATGTCTCTCACACGATATTATAAGTTAAGGGGTAAATATGATATTTTTAAACATGAAATATTATATATTTCATGTATTTCGTTACGTACTTTTGCTCTCGTTCTCTTGAACGGGAATAACGTCTACGATTTGTTCTTTCTCGTAAATGCTTTTCTTCTACATTATGCAATTGATCATATCGTCTGTCCTTTTTTTTGTATTCTCTACTTCTATCTCTACTGCAACTTCTTTCCCTGAACATAATACATAATTTAATAAAATAAGAAAATAAAGATATTAGATAAATATATAAAATTTTATAATTATATTACCTATCATTTCTATAACTACTTCTGTTTTCATGTCTTGAATCTTCATATCTAAAAAAAAAAATAAGAATTAATAAAAAATCTAATTTCTAGATTTAATTATATTATTAAATTTAACAATTATTAATAATAATACATAATGCTTAATTCTTATTATTTATTATAGTAAATAATACTTTATATTTTATTATATATATATCAATATTATATTGCATAAATTTTTTCTCTATTTATTAAATATATATAAATATCTATATAAAAGTAAATTAGAATTAAATTTCTCATTTATTAATTCTTACTGAAAAATTAAATATTTTAATTTTTTTTAAAGCATTCATTTTATCATTTTACATTTTTATTTTAATTTTGAATATGCTAAATATATTTCAGAAATGTATAAAAAAATGAGAAAAGAATGATTTTAAAGCATACATTATAAGTACAATATATAATTAAACTTATAAAGTTATTTTTAAATAAAAAGAATTAGATAATTTAATAAAATTGGCATTAAGAATTTTTATTTTTATTATACAAAATATTCAATAAAACATATAATAAATAAAAAAATATAGTCTATGTATAATTTATTCATGATATCAAATGAAATGATAGAAAGAAAACATATTTCCATTTGATTTACCTATGCATATATTAATAATTAATATTTTGCTTATGGGATGAGTTTATGTGTTATATGTAATGTTTCGAAATCATCATTCTGTTCTAATCATATTCGATATGTTTATTTTTTTCGGCGATTCAATTCTAAATGTGATTGTTTCGATCAATTAAAAAAATATGATGAAAAATAGGAATCAATAGTAAAACAATAACTCACTTTTTTGCTTAATCTGCTAGTTTCACAAATAAACTTATAAACTCACAAAGAACTTATATAAACATTATTTTAACATTATATAAACATTAATTTAAAAAATTTTTAATTTAAAAATTTAAAAATTTCTTAATAAAAATTTTTTAATAATTAATATATTTTTTAGTTATAAAAAACATATTGTATTATATTTATTTAGGAATTACATAAAGATCAATTTCGACTAAATTCAATGTATAAAACTCCTAAATAAATATAATTCTAATTCAAAATAATTCTAAATTCAATGTATAAAACTCCTAAATAAATATAATAATCTTTTGTAATAATAACTTATTGTGTATAATAAAAATTATTATGCCAATTTTGATACTTTACAAGATATAATTACCATCGATATTATTATCGCTACATAAACAAACCTGGAATGACAGGATGTCGTACGTTGAAAACTACGACTTCGACTTCTTAAAGAATTTGACGAAATAGCATATTTTTTACATGTTTTAGTTTCGTTTTCTAAAAATAAAATTATATGTAATTTTAAGTTATAATAATAAAAAGTTTATATTTTTAATAAAGAACATACCTGGTTTTTCAATATTTACAGCTAAAACTGTACGATGTTCTGTAATTTCATTTGTTTTTGATAATACATTTTTTATTTCTTCTCTTTCAAATATAGGTTTAGATCCTTCTCCTATAATTAAATTTTTAGATAAAATTTTTTAGAAATAAAAATCATAAAATCATAAATTAGAGCTACATAATAGATGATGATAACAGATTTTAAAATATTTAGACTTATATATAAATAAATTGACTATTTCTTAACAATTGTAAGCTAGATGTTTATAATAATAAAATATACAAATAATATATGAAATTATATAAATAAACTAGCTACAAAACATGAAAAAGATAATTATTTTTTATATCATTTATATTATTATTTTTATATAATAATGTAAAAATATACATGTCTACATATAAATGTATGAATATAAATGAATATAAATCATAACTAATCAATCTTTCATTGGTTTATACCATATTTTGAAAAAAATATATAAATTCATAATTTATTTAATCTTTATTAATAAAAATCTCTTTTCAGAATTTGTAGCAGACTATGTGTAACTTACAATTTTCTTGAGTTTTAAATGTTAGAAAATGATATCTATAAATCCATAATTATAAATTTATGGAAGTATATATCTTTCACTTTATATTATATATTTTTTCATTTTTTTGAGTTACAAAATCAATTCACTTTTCATTAAACATTTAATTAAAAAAATAATCAATTTTTATATAAAAAAATTATGTGAAAAAAGTCCATATGTAATAAAACTATTTTAAAATCATAAAATCATCTTCTAATCATCTCTGATTAAAATCTTCCTCTCTTGATGAATTATATCATATTTATTATTACATTATATCTTAAATATATTTGATTAATAATATAAATATGATACTGAATAAATGAACTAAAATATCTTGCACAAATTTTATTTTTTGAATTTTTAAAATTTTTCTTAATTCAGAATTGTTTAAATATAATTGACAAATTTCTGCAATTGAAAAAAATGAGAAAAATTATTTTTTAAAAATTTAAATATAAATATCTATTAAATATTTTTAAGTTTCTATTAAATATTAAATAATTTCATTAATTATTCATTTCAATATCATATTTTGATAATTATCATAATATCATAATATAATAATTCTGATATCGTATCAATCTTCAATGTTGAATTCTACTGAAAAAGTTTCATCTTCTTCTGGTGGAATAATTAATCTTTTGCACTGAATTGATACATACCTTTATTATTTCTTTATCAATGATGATAAATTTTTAAGCTGTTAATAATCGAAACAAAAAATAACATTTTACCCGTTCTTCTTTTGAGCATCACATCTTCAGGATTGATAATATCTTGTTTAAGTTCATCAGTTGTTGTTGTTGGTTTCCCTGGCAAAACTCTATGAATATCTATCTTAATTTTTCGTAGTTCTGTTGCACTAACTTGAGTATCTTCTGATCCTCTAAATAAAGATATATCATTCAAAGATTCTAATGTACAGTAGTACAAAATAATTTTTTATTTAAAAAAAGGAAATATGACTCTAATAAACTTCATGTCAAAATTATAAATTAAATTTTCTCGAATATTATATATAAATTTTCTCTTCGAATATTATATATAAAAATAATATATCTTATACTGAAAATTTTACATTATATTATTTTATGTACTTATTTACAATTTTTCAAATTATATTGCATATCTAATATAATATAATTTCTATAATATTTAAATATTTTTTTTTTAAACTCTATTTTTATTTATATTTAAAACAATTTTATAAATAACTAAACTAAAAATTATTTAATTTATTCATACATACTTTTCGGATAATATAAATATTTTAGATGTATTTGATGCATTACTTTTATTTTGATTTTTTGGGGATCTACTTTTAGTTTCCTTCTTTTAGATAATGCTAGTTTTTCCTCACTAGCACGTAATTCATATCTTAAAATCATCTTTTTTTTTATTTTTTCCTATTCTCGTTCCTATTCTTGTTGCATCCTCCATTCGCATCTACGTCGTAATCGTTCTTCTTCTGATCTTGAACGCAGATTAGTTTCGCTATTTTTACTGCATGATTATCTCTCATTGTCATCAGAGAAATTTATCTGAAAAATTTTTTTTATATTTATAATAATATAATAAATATAATTATAATAAATATATAATATAATATAATTATAATAAATATATAATATAATATAATTATAATAAAATATAATAAAATCTAAATACATTACATCAAAATAATACATAAAAAATACATACCAATATATAAAACAATACACAAAAATTATTATGAATAAAAAAAAATAATTATAAAATGCAATTATAATAAATATTTTTTACACTTTTTACAATATATATATATATATTTATACATATACATGTTAATTATTTCTAATTGAAGAATTAATAAACATAGAATATTTTAGTATATAATAATATATAATAATTGATAACTTCATAACTAATTAAAAAAAAAGGATAAAAAACTATAATATAATCAATCGGGAATAAAATTATTGATAAAATACAATGCAAACTTAATACAAAGCTTCTAAATGATCTGTTGCTGCAAGTTGAGTTCTAGAAAAAAAAACTCAATGAATAATATTATAATAAATTTTTGTATATTTTTAAGTATGCAAACATTTCAAAAACATAAAAAAAAATACATAAAAGAAAATAAGAATTTAAAGCATATTTTTATAAAAATTGTTTTTTAGCGATAGAATAGTAATAACAGTATATTTATTTTTGTGTTATTAATATTCTAAAAGCATAATATTTTGTGCAAATTCAAATGCAATTGTTGCAAAAAAGTTAGAATACTTAAAATAAATGATACTGTGCTTACATATTGCACATTACATTTTCAATACTTTGATCCAGCATTGTCCAAATTTTCTTCTTTGATGAATTCTTCTTTGATGAATTCTTCTTTGAAGAATTCTTCTTTGATGAATTCTTCTTTGAAGAATTCTTTTTTGATGAATTCTTCTTTGAAGAATATGTTATTAATTTCATAAAATATCATTACACTTATAAATGATATATGATAATAAATTTAATTCTTCTTAAATTTCTTTTTTGTAGAAATTTATATTCATATATTATAATTCTTCAAATATTGCACTTAGTAAAGTAAAATATTTATTATTCAATATTAATATTTGATTATATATATAAATAAATTAATAAATAAATAAATTTAAAAAATAAAAAATAAAAAACAATAAATAAATTAATAAATTATATACATAAAAAAAGATAATTAATAAAAAAAATAAAATAAAAATCTTGATTTTATATTACAAAGCTTAAAATTTCTTGGCTTATAAAAAGTTTATAAATTCAGTAATTACATTTTTAAAAAAATTGTTAAAGTAAAATCTTTGATATTGAGTTCATATATATTTTTGATGAATTCTGCTGAAAAAGTTTCATCTATTTCTGATGGAATAATTAATCTTTTGCACTGCATGTTGAATTCACATATATTTTTGATGAATTTTGCTGAAAAAGTTTCATCTTCTTCTGATGGAATAATTAATCTTTTGCACTAAATTGATACATACCTTTGCTATTTCTTTATGAATGATGAAATTTTTAAATTGTTAATAATCGAAACAAAAAATAACATTTTACCCGTTCTTCTTTTGAGCATCACATCTTCAGGATTAATAATATCTCGTTTAAGTTCATCAGTTGTTGTTGTTGGTTTTCCTGGCAAAACTCTGTGAATATCTACCTTAATTTTCCGTAGTTCTGTTGCGCTAACTTGAGTACCTTCTGGTCCTCTAAATAAAGATGTACCATCTGAAGATTCTAATCTGCAGTATAAAATAATTTTTTATTTAAAAAAAGAAATTATATGACTTTAATAAACTCATTAAAATTATAAATTAAATTTTCTCGAATATTATATATAAAAATAATATATCTTACTAGAAATTTTACATTATATTATTTTATGTACTTATTTACAATTTTTCAAATTATATTGCATATCTAATATAATAATAAATTTCTATAATATTCAAATATTTTTTTTTTAAACTCTATTTTTATTTACATTTAAAATAATTTTATATAAATAACTAAACTAAAAATTATTTAATTTATTTATACATACTTTTCGGATAATATAAATGTTTTAGATGTGTTTGATGCATTACTTCTACCTCCCCGGCTTTCTGGGGATCTACTTTTAGTTTTACTTCTTTTCGATAATGCTAGTTTTTTCTCACGAGCACGTCGTAATTCGTATTCTAAAATCATCTTTTTCTTCAATCTTTCGTGTTCTCGTTCCCGTTCTTGTTGTATCATCCATTCGCGTCTACGTCGTAATCGTTCTTCTTCTGTTCTTGAACGCAGACCAGTTTCACTATCTTCACTGCGTGATTGTCTAAATCTCTCATCGCGATGCGAATGACTTGATGTATTTCGTTTCATTTTTATGAGAAATATCGAAGAAGTATATGTATATTTATGAAATTTAATCTGCAAATCTTTTTTTAGGTTAGAAATATAATAAGATTCAAATATGTACATTACATCAAATGATGTATAAGAAAATATTTTATTATTATAATAAATAAAAGAGAACAAACATTAAAATGTTAAAAAATAAAATTATAAAAATTCTCTAAATTTTCAAAGTATACACATACTTACATGTAAATCATCCACGCATGCATTGCTGCTAATAGAAAAATTTTAAAAACCCTACTTTTTTTTTTTTATTATTTATATTACTAACTTCATAGTACGATTAGTTAAAATTGAAGATAAGATAATTATTTGACTAATTAGAAATGAGATTATTAATAAAATACATTGTAAAATTAGTAAAAAGTTTTTAAACGTTCTATTAATATAGATATTGCAGATTGCAAAGGAAAAATTGAAGTTGCTATGTATTATATTACTATAAATAATATACTATATTGTATGCTTTCTTAACCAGTTGCTATGTATTATATTATACTATAAGTAATGTACTATATTGTATGCTTTCTTAACCAGTTGCTATGTATTATATTATATTATAAGTAATGTACTATATTGTATGTTTTCTTTACTAGTCAGCAACTAAAAACTAACTAAAAATTGCATTTTTATTATACCAATTGCTTATTTTTATGAAAATGAGTTGAATTTATTTTTATCTATGAACTACTGTAAATTATAATTGCAAAGTATAATTATAACTATAACTATTTATCGAATTAAATTGGTATTTTTTTTCATTTCAACTTAAAAAAATTGGTATATTTGAAATTTATCATATTTTAAATTTATAAAATCATTATTATTTTTCAAAAATTTTATTCATACAATCAATAAAATTTTATTTTAAATGAAATATTTTACTAAAATGTTTAACTGAATATATATATTAACTGAATATATATAATTTTTTAGCAATGTAATATCACATTCAGATTGTTTTATTAATAACTTATCATATTTGTTTATTAGCAATAATAAATAATTTTTATTATATCCATATTGTGTTCTAATACTTCATGGTAAATATCTTTATAATTATTAGCACAAAATTAGCACATTAATACAATGTATTATAATGAAAAACAAAATTCCATAATAAATCTGTATTATTTTTTGACAATGATGTCATTATATTTTATTATACCCAATAAGAATTTTTACAATATTTTACAATAATCCATATTAACAATAATTTGTAGATATCCATTTATTAATAATATTTTGTATTATTTTTTATATAACAAAAAACAATATTTATTTTGTAATATTTTATAGTATGTAATATCTTTATATTTACTAAGAATATTTGTTAATTTGTTATTATAATTAATTTATTATATTGTAACTAATATTGCGCAAAATATCTATATTATGTTAACAATTATAACATATAATATATATATTATATAACATATAATATAATATATATAATAACGGATTATTTTTTAACAATATTCTGTATCTTATAATAATAATAATATTCTATAATAGTTTTATAATAATAGTATATTCTATTAAACATACATTAGCGATTGAATATTATTGTGAATAATTGTATTTATTAGCGGAAATTTGTCTTGATTAAATTATAAAATACTAAACGAATAATCTCAAAAATCAGATTAAATTAAATATATGTATATATTTTTAAATATTTTAGAAACTATAATTATGATACAAAGATTATAGTGTAAAATATAAAATGTCAATAATTTTTTCTGATATTTGTTAATTAATAAAATTATTTTTTACCTTATTTCTGTTCAAATTTCGGTTTGTATTAAAAAAAAAACTTTTTTTAAATTTAGCTTAAAAATTTATCGTTAATAAAATAAAGCTATTATTAATATAAATTTGTTTATAATATTTTAATATATAAAACAGTATTAATTTATTATGATCAAAAATGAATTTAAAAATATCATAATAAAAAATTTTGAATATTTGTTACGAAATATGGAAAATAATATTAGTGTAACTATTAATATTTTTATTTTAATTTAATATAATAATTAAAATAATAAAGAATCTCTAATAAGATTATGACGTGACAAAGTAAATTTATTATATCGTTATTTCATATGTAAATTTCTTTTAGAAGACTAAATCAATCCAATGCAACTTGATATTGAAATTCAAATAAGTATTATATTATACATTGTTATATTAACTATAAATGATTGGTATATGAAAATGTTGCAACGCCATCTAGAATTTTTTTATGTTAAGAATATTTAAAAAATTTTTAAACATATGATATTATGTTATCTTTAAACAGACTTTTTCAATTTAAATATATATAAAAAATATATAATCATTATAAAATTAATTTATAAAATTATCTATAAAAACATTCAAAAGACGCCATAATGTTTCTCTTGGTATCAAACCTGCTGTGAGTGTCATGATCATGGAGAAAGTATTGCAGTATTATACATTTAAATTTTATTGTGTACAAATTTTTTTACAAATAAATTAAACAATAAGTATGCTGATAAGAGAGTGGTGTACGATTTTTATGCATTTTCTTATTGCTTGGAGGACGGATTAGATCATTTTAAAACTAAATATACAATTAAGTAAACATCTGACAAAAAGGAATCTTATAGAAAGGACGAAAAAAAGCGCCGTAACATTTCACGGCAGAAAAGAAACGGAAACAGAGGTTAGCTTATTGAACACAACTACCCTAGTCAGTTGTTAAGATGGCAGTTATTATGGTTATGGTGGTAGTCGAAATGATATCAATTTAGTTAAAACATTCAATGAAAAAACAAAGGAGGAAAGCAGTTCTTATGAGTGTTAATGTTTGTGAGTTTCGGTGGCTATCTTATCGGTTTTTTAGTTAGTATCATTTAAAAATATGTGAATGTTAAAGTATTTAACAGTGAAAGAACAATTGATTGTATATACATATATATACATATACACACACGTTTATCTTCCTTTCAATAGGTTTATTTCTCTCTTTTTGTTGTTCTGTTCTGTTTCTCTCTTCAGTCCTTAGTTCTTTCCCTCCCCCTTGTTTATTAATTAGTCGTTCTATAGTATTACGAACAAATCTTTCAAAGAATACGATTGCGTGTCAAAGAAAATATAAGTCAATCGTGACTCGATCGTAAATTGTTATCTTGTTCTATTGAGATTTATTGATTTGTTAATTAAAAGTATGACAAATATACGGAATTTGTAAATTTATATCGTGCAAAATTTACAAAGGTAACTAAATTAAGAAAAATAGTGTAGATGATTAATAATTGTTAAATATAATGATTATTTACTGTAAGTATTTAACAAATTAATTATAATTAAATATGATATATCTATATCTATGTAATATAAATATATCTATATCTATATATAACATATAAATAATATTATAAGAATTCGTTTTTACTATTCATTTGAAAATTATCATCTCTAAACCATTGTCTAATTGAAATTTATTTATTTAAAATAATTTTCATTATACTTTAAATTTTTTTATCGATCGAAATTAGGTCATCAAGATAAAATAAGGAAAATCCATATACTTACATTATTCGCATTTTTGATGAATCAAGATATAATGAATTAAATAGATAGAAGAATGTGTTTGAAATATTTTTTATAGTTTATGATATTAATTATGCGATTACATGAATTGTTTATTTTTTTTCTTCATTTCTGTGATATTCAGTATGAAATTATTCCATAATCGGTCAAACTAATTTTTTATAGTAAGTGAATTATTTGTAAATTAGAAGATTATAGCTATTAATTTATAATTTTTATATACATAATAACATTTTAATATTTTATATATCTGTAAATAATATGTATTAAGAAAAGAAAACAAAGATAATTACATATACATATATATATATATATATATATTTTTAATAGCAATAATGTCTAAAAAGACTAATTGCAACAAGATGTTAGTTCATCAGTTATCATCAGTGCTACCTGATGATAGACCCATCACAGCCATAAGTGTTGTTGAAGATATAGATAAGTGTCCACCAAATTTTACAGTGGTATGTTATAAGATAATATTTATATTTTTTATCATATTTTATTTAATGTTTATAAAAATATTTTTGAATTATTTTATTATTAATTATTATTAATTTTATTTAATTAACTTTTAATATTGATTATTTTACATATAAATATTTATAACTTTTTAATTCAAATAATTATTTAAAAATTATTTTTAAATTTTACTTATTGAACAATTAATATCACAAAATAATCATAATCAAAATTATGGATTATTATTTTACTATTAGGTATCAAGAACATATGACCAAGATACTGATGCTGATTTATGGAGAGAAAGTGGGCTTTTTATTAAAAAAAAAGGCAGATATATATGTTTTTCAAAGACTGAAGGTTTACCTCGGTGCGTTGTTGAAGATATAGCAGTCATTAATGAACGAGATACTCCTCCAGAAGGATACAGCATAATTTCTTATACTGTAGATTCAAGTGAGCATACGTAAGAGTGATTAATATATCACTTATTAAAAAAATATTTTTATTTAATACATTGCAGTAATGAATTTTAGTGCAGAAAGCATGGAGAAAGAAACAGGTGTGCTATAAAATTAGAAATAAAGAATTATGCTCAAAAGCAGTTACTGATATTATCATATGTAGTAGACTTATACATAAAGTTTATAATACATCCAAAATGGCACCAAACGGATTTATTGCTGCTGGGTATATATATTTGCATATATAAATGTATTAAAATTTTATAAAAATTTAATTATTCTATCTTCATTTTTTTTCAGTATTGTCAATGGAGTTTGTGTTTGCTATAAAACTGTGGATATTGTAAATGAAAATTCAAATTCACAATCATATGTTAATTTAGAGTATGAATCATTTTATTTTATAAACTAGGATTAGAATATATTTATATCAATTTATTTATTAGAATATATTTATTATTTATTATAATTATTTACAATTATTTATTAAAATATATTTATATCAATTCTTATATAATAATTATTATATATTATATTTTATCTAGCTTACTTCAAAGTGTTTCTCCAAATTCATCAAATGGAACATCCCATAGAATACCTCCTGAAAGACCACCAAAACCAACAAATGGGGTTTATCCACAAATTAGTGGAAGTGGAGGAAAGGATATAGAAGAATCTGATGATAGAGATTATGAAATTCTGAATCCTAATGCAAGAATTAGACCAACTAGACCTGCTCCACAACCTCCTACGTCAATAGTTACTGGATCTACATCAATTTATGGTACACTGCCAGGATCTTCTGATTTAGATGGAGTTCCATTTATTTTAAATTCACGTCTTAGTGTTCATTCTGATTCTTCTACTGTAAGTTATTTTTACAAAAGTTTGTATTTTCATGTTCATTATGTTTTTTTTACAATTAATCATTTACAGAATAAACTTCCTGTAATTAAAATTTGGACTCAAGAAAATTTGGATAAAGAGGTGAGACCGAAGTATATAATATATTAATGCATTTAATATTTTTATTTTTTATTTTCTTTTGTTTAGTTTTTTTATGACTTTCGTGCAGAGAGAGAAACTTGAAGAAACCACTGTGCCAAATTAATTGTGTGATTCTTCATGCAATTTTTCAGCTATGTCTATACATTTGTATTGATAATGTAGCACTAGCCAAGTGTAATAGAGTGCCTGAACGAATGATTCATACTAATCTGTGAAAATGGAATCCTTTTAAAACATTTACTAAAATGTTTGAATTTAAATATTGTCCATTTTCCGAAGTACTTTTTTCTTCCATATTCTATTTAGATTTTGATACCAGTGACAGTTAGCGTTGTATTTTTATAGAGTTGCGTTGTATTTTTATAGGTAGTAGAAATTATATATAATTGTATCATATGTTCTAGTTGTTTATAAATCGTCATAAAATACTTAATATTATAATGGTGTATTTCTATTTCTTAATCAAACATAAAAATCTTTCAATAAAATTATTTTTAATTTTATTTCCAACAAAAAAACAAGTATAATTTTTATTTTTATCCTCGAACTGATTTTTGTCATTGTGTATATTTAATCTTTTTACAGAATATATATACTTACTTTTATACTATTTAATCAACAAATAATTAACCAATAATTATATAGATATATAGATAGATTCTTAAATATCATATATAGATTCACATATATATAGATTCTTAAATATCACAAAATTTAAATAACGATCAGTTAAAATATTTAAAATTTTGTAAATTTATATACAGTGTTATATAATATAAATAATTACAGGTTAAAGTAAAAACATAATAATTTAAATTTATATAATCATATTTTATTATAATGAATTTGTTTATTTGTTTCATTTCATATAATATAACAATATTATTTATTTAACATTTTCAATTTTTTATTCAGGATTTTCAGTAGAAAATAAAATAAAAACATTTCCGTAGTAAATAAAGTACTAATTGCAATTTACAGCGAAAGAACGAAATAATGTATGTATAATATTGTCAATTATCATTCAATTAATTATTTTATCAATTGCATTAATATTTTAAATAAGTAGGACATATTTTATTAAAATATACAATACAAAAGTATTTTTCAAATTTAATTAAATAAATTAACTCTCGTATCTTTCAATTTCTTTAATAACAAAAAATCTGATAAAATATTAAAAAAAGGAAAGAAAATATTAATAATAATTTACACAAAATTATATATTTCATATACATAGAAGAATTTTGTTTGAACCACGGTTTTTTTCAACTTTCGTTAATATAGATCATATTTGTCTAATTTATCTTTTTTCATCGGGTGTTTCTTGTCGGAATAGATTTCTTGGAAAAACTTGTGCCAATCGTCAGACAAATGGGCCTGTCCAATGTCTAACATGAGTAGTATTCGTTGAAACACCATGTTTTTCCATAACCGCTGTTGCTTTGATTTTGTTTTTATACTTTACATCTTTCGGCTTTAGCATGCTTTTATGGTTACTTAATAACCTTGAGGGAGTCAGTATGGATTTGTTGCTAAGACCTGTTGCTTCTAGAAAGTGATCGTAACCGCTATTCGAATTGCTCGCAGCGAGAGGAACATTATTATTGTCTTTGGTTGCAGCAGTTTTCTCATTCTGACTAATTGTTACCCCAAGATTGCCAAGCTTTTCCGATCCATCGCCTTCCGGTCTATCTGGATCATCTGATAAATCACATTCATCCAAATTAAATTCCTCAAAATTTTGTCTGATATCGAACTCTTGATCGAATTCTGAATGGACGTGTTTTTCCTTCGTTTTCGTGCGTTTTTTTGCTTGATCTTCCGATTCACCGCCAATTTTGAATTCTTCAAAATGACGAACAATGTTGGTGACTTTGGGTATTTTTCGCATTTGTTCTCCACTAATTTCGTGGTTCTGACGTGTTTGAAAGGAAGATCGAACATTGTTGAATCTGTTCTTCCAGAAGTTCCCTTCTTCGTTGTTTCCTGTACCTTTATTAATCGTATCATCGAAATTTAAACTTCTTGCAGACGACACATTAATCCCTGTAGATTTTAAAGGAGAGGATATAAAACCAAATATCTTCTTGCTGTGTTCAGACGAACCGGACTCAAGAAGTTGCTGTTTTTTTCGTGTCTCATCGATCAGAAACGAAGGACTAGGAATTTTTTTTAAGATCAACGTGTTATTTTTAAACTGTGGTTTTGGAGGCAAGGCAGGTGGTGTTTTAGGAGGTGGTGATATAATTTCCGGAAGCGATTCGATATCCTCATAATCTAAATTTTTTGCTATAGTCAGTCCCTTTGTAGACATCTGTAAACAAGTCTTCTCCTCGATTCGTTCCAATTTTAAAGGTGGATTCGAGGCATTTACAGATGTTTTAATCTTTTGCGATACTTGCGAAGATTGGAAAGCTGCGTGTCTCGTTTCTTCCATCTTGATCTTTGGCTCTATAATGACAATTGGAATAGCTTTTGCTTCTTCCGATTCTTCCTCAAGACTCGACTCGTGATTCGTGATTGTAGTTGTAACGTTTGAAGTTGAAACACTTTGAGTAAGACTCATGCCAAACTCGTCTTCCGTGGCAGTAGGTTCGAAACTGTTGGTAGGAACATCGGTGAACTCGCTATCAGCCGATTCTTTTTCTATAATACCTTCTTCGGAATTTTTCCTTTCCATTTCAGATCCTACCGACTCGATGTCCGATAATTTAGCCGGTTGAAACCGTACAATTCTCCCTCGATGTTTAAATCTTCTTGACATTGAAAGAATGTTTTCTTCGTCCTCCATATCTCGCAAGAGGATCTGATTAACGCATTCCAAAACAGAATTATGATTGCTATTCGGTCGATACATGCTATGTCTGAAAACATCATCGTTCATTTTGTCTTCGTCAGGATCGCTATACCAGTTCCCGCTGGTATCTTCTACGTTATGCTCTTCGATTTCCATTTTCAGGGATCTGTGCAAATCGAATATAATTATGAATATTAATTTTACAATAATTAATACATATGCAGTAAATAACGAACATTGTGCATTTATGCTTGTATTATTTTTTTCAAAAAACAAATACTCACATACTATTATTATTGCTCCCGGCATTATTGCTGTTGCCATTATTATTACTATAATCCTCGTTCACCTTCGGCGTAATTATATTTTCCGCGTGATTTCTCGAATTTGTCTCATTGAAAGAATTTACGTAAATAGGTTCCTGTTCCTTCTCCTGTTCATCTCCCGAGGCAAAATTACAATCCATCCCATCGTCCTTACTCTCTGTCCTCGCGATATTCGTCGATTCGATCACATCCATTTCCTTCAACGCTTTCTGCGTTCTCGACCTTCCTAACCCCATCTTTTTCTTCGATAATTTACAACCGTTCTCCATAATCATCGTCGTTTTCTCTTCCTCGTCGTCGTCGTCGTCGTCGTAGATCATCGTTGTCTCGTTCTCGCTGTCGGTAACCATTGTCGGCGTACACCTGTTGGATTTATTCAACGTGGAACTGGGCGAGACATCGGTGCTCTCACCTTCGCAAAAACCTTCGGTGCTGAGCAACGAGGGACTGCCCTCCGTGGTGGTCGTGATAATCGACACATCCGTATTCTCGCTGCTCGTCAGACTCGTTTTCGAGATGTCGCTCCCGGCAAAGCTGTGCGTTTTCTTCACCCCTCTGTCCAGGTCGTCGAGCGCAACAGGTACTTCTAACGGATTCAGTTTTGTGATTATCTCGCATTTCAAATTCTGAATGTCTTTACTAATACTGCAATCCTGCCTCGAGCTAACCTAAAATAAAGAAAAAAATGAGGAGGTTAAGGTTAAGATTAAGGTTAAGATTAAGGTTAAGGTTAAGGTTAAGGTTAAGTTTACTTACGATCGAGGAAATTTGTAAAAAAGATCAATATAAAATATTGATTTATAAGGATGCATTTTGAATTTCATCGTCATTATCATTCAAAAAGTAACGTTAATTTAAATCAATATAATTAATTATTGAACGACAAAATCGATCGAAGCAGTTGAAAACTTACATCGACGTTGGACGTTTGAAGATCGTTGTTCTCGATATCGGTCGCCGTTTCGACCTTCATCGACGATTTACCAAGCGTCTGTTCGCGTTTACATTTGATATAATTCTTGGTGTAACGTCTGAGCCTCGCGATTTCGAGCTGCTGGTTCCTGATCACGTTGTCCTTCTCGCAGAGCAGCTGCCTGATTGATTTCTGCTCCTGCTTGAGCCGGGCCTCGAGCACCAGCAGAGCGCGAAGTATACGCGATAACTGTTGATCTCGAAGACTCCTCTCGGACTCGTGACTCGTGGTGCGATTGTCCAGCTCTTTCACCAGATCACGGCATTTCTTTGTGGCCGCCTTCAAGGCCTCTTGGGTACGAACCAGCTCTTGCTTGAGCGTCCGCACCTCGGTTTCCATCTGGAAAAACAATTTGATGATTAGACAAGCTTGTTTTCTTTTTTTTCTTTTTAATGAAGATTTTATATGCAAAAATTTAAATCTAAAAAAATATCGTATTATTAATATCATCAATTATAAAACTTGAATTATTTGTTTACAAATAATCAAAATTATGTTCGTTGAATAAAATATTTAGATAAAAATATCAAATTATTATTATTATTATTATTATTGTTATTATTATTATTATTATTACTGATTGATTATCAGTGATTCAAGTATATATGCAATAAAAAATTAACTAGATATCATAGATAAGATTCAAGGTGACGATGAAATGATTTACGCATGATTGAAGAAACGAACGAATGGGAATGAAGAAAGATGGACCCTTCGCTTTGTGTTAACACACAAAAATCTTAAAGGCTGACTCCGGAGCAGAAACTTTGGAATTCATCCAGGTGTAGACGCTACGAGGACCGGAAGGACCTGACCTGCAGGAATTGGCAAGCCAAACAGACAAAAAAAAAAAGAAAGAAAGAAAGGAAGCCAGGCGAAATAAAAAGGGGAATTCTTCATTGTTCGAATTCTTTTCTTGAAAAAGTCTATTTTATTTTTCAACGAGACAAATAAATTTGTCAACTAAAAATCATATATCATACATAGTTGATGTAGTTAAATTTTGTTTTTCTTATTAAATTAGTAGTAACTTGAGAGATTTCATTGGAATGATAAAATAATATAAAAAATAATAATAATAAAAAATTAATAATAAAATATAATATAATATATATAATAATAAAATAATAAAAAAAATAATAAATAATAATAATAAAAATAGTAAATAATAATAATAAAAAAATAATAAATAATAAAAAATAATAATAAAAAATTAATAATAAAATATAATATAATATATATAATAATAAAATAATAAAAAAATAATAAATAATAATAAAAATAATAAATAATAAAAATAATAAATAATAATAATAAAAAATAAAATAAAAATAAAAATAAAATAAAAATAAAAAAGGATTCAAAGGAGCAGAAATACATTTG